GATCTCGCTCTGTAGACCAGGCTGGCCTTGAACTCACAGAGATCCGCCTGGCTCTGCCTCCTGAGTGCTGGGATTAAAGGTGTGCACCACCGCCACCTGGCGACAATCCTGTTTTTTAAAGATTAATTTTTTTTTTACATGTCTATGTGTGTGTGTGTGTGTGTGTGTGTGTGTGTGTATGCAGGTGTTCACTGAGGCCAAAAAAGGGCATCTGGTCTCCTGGAGCTGGATTTACAGACAGTTGTGAGCTGATGGGTGCTGGGAACTGAACTCTGGTCCTCAGAAAGGGCAACAAATGCTCTTAACTAACTGCTGGGCCATCTCTCCAGACCCACAATTCTCAACTGTTGATTAATGGACCAGGTTTTTTCTAGGTGCCAAATGAGGGCTCAAACACCAAATTATCAAATCCATAAGGATTGTGTTAGGAGTAAACACATTTTACTTGGCCAGCTCTATTCAACAGATACCAAGAGCCCTGCCTAAGAAGTGAGGCCAGGAAGTGTGTTGTGTGATATTTTGTTTGTGTTCTGACAAATAAAGCTTGCTTGGAATCAGAGTTCAGAGCTGGCCACTAGTTAACCATAGAGGTTTGGAGGACTGTAGAGAGAGGGACAGGAAGTGGTAAGACGGGGCTGAGACAGGATCTCGGCCCTTTTGGTTAGAGGAACGGAAGAGGTAGGAAGTCTCTGGTGGCTGCTCCCCTGCTTCTCTGATCTTTCAGATTCTTAACCCTGTATCTGGCTCCTGGTTTTTTACTGGTAAGATTAATTAGATTTTTGCATCATAAATAAATAAGTAGATGACATCCAAATTAAAAAAGATTAAGGAAAGTTGTCTTTATCCCCATATGAAATGATCCCACAATCAGGAAACCCTAAAAATTCCACATAAAGCATTGGGACAAATTTTGTAAAATTGCAGGACACAAAATTAACACATAAAAATCAGTTGTGTTTCTACACACTAACCATGAATAAACCAAAATGGAAATTAAGAATAGTCCCATATATAGTAACATTAAAGAGAAAAAAATACTTAGGAATAAACTTAGTCAAAGAAATAAAAGACCTGTACACTGAGTTTAAAGCCAGCCTGGGCTAAATAGTGAGACCGTATCTAAAACAAACAAACAAACAAACAAACAAACGAACCATCAAGAGAGAAGAGCCAATTCAGGGACTGGGAGCAAATACTCACAAAGGACTCCTCAGATGCAGGTTATTGTTTAAATACGTAAAGGATATTTGATTGGGCAACAGAAAACGCCCCAGGACAAAACGGGGCTAGGACTTGAGCAGATATTTCTCCAAAGAAGAGCCACATGTGGCCAGTAAAGACACAAAAAGAAGTGGGGTGCAAATCAAAACCACGGGGAGGAAGGGTGGCCTTAGAGGAAGAGAGACTGTGAACAACTTGCAGAGGTGATGTATGAAAATGTTGTAAGAAGACGGTGCCAGCTGCCTGAGAAGCTGAGGCAAAGGAGCAGGAATCCAAGGCCTGCTTGGGCCACGAGCTGAGTTCAAGGCCAATCCCTGCCTCAGTTTTGAAAAGAAGAGCTTATGCTGTAGCAATGGTAGAACACTTCACTAGCGTGTGGGGGGCTTTGGATTTGGTCCCCAGCACTGTGAGACAGAATAGTGAAACAATCATAGACCTACAATGACATTGCTTTATACTCATGAGGATGGTCATCTAAAACCCACAGAATCACATGTGCTGGCAAGGATCTGGAAAACGACTCCCGTGTACGGTGGGAGTGAGGAGCGGTACAGTATTTATGAGAACTTAGGCTGCTTCTTATAAAAACACTTCATAAATCTTCATATAAACCAGCAACTCATTTCTTGGCATAAATCACAAAAATTGAAAGAAGAAACACAAACATACCTGTACACTCATATTCATTCCAGCATTATTTGTAACAGCTAGAAGACAAAAGCATCTCAAGTATCCATCAACAGAAATATGGAATGTGGTATGTACACATTCTCAACGTGCGTGCTTGCACACACACACACACACACACACACACACACACACACACACACACACACCAAGTATATTCAGCTTAGATATGAGGGAAACTCTGATATAAGCTACAACATGGATAAAACCTGAAAAAATTCTGTTAGGTAAAAGAAACTATTTCAAACTATCATGAGTCCACTTACGTGGTGTCTAGAGCAGCCAAGTTCAGAGGTAGACGTGAGACATTGACTCCAGGAGATGGGGGAAGCGGGGAGTTAGTCTTACTAGTACAAAGTTTCCATTTAGAAGATGAGAAAAAGGCGTTAGAGACATGGCTCAATGGTTAAGAGCACTGGCTGCTCTTCCAGAGGACCTAGGTTTGATTCTCAGCACCCACATGCTGGCTCACCCTCTGTAATGTCAGTTCCAAGGGGATTAGACACCTTCTTCTGGCCTCAAAGGGCCCCCTGCACACATGTGGTGCACAGATATACATGCAGGCAAAAACCCATACACATAAAAATAAATAATTTAAAAGATGAAAGTTCTAAGAATGGATGGAGATGGTTGTACAACTGTACGAACATAAAGTTTTATCACAATGAAAAGGAGAGTAGATTTGGTACAAGAGAGAACGTGCCATTGGTTAACACGCTGTCGCTGGTCTAAGAACCCCACACCCACCGTTCCACCCCAGTGCCCACAGCCAGCTGTCTTGGTGCAGTGTTAATGCCTGTCCACCCAAAAGGTGTTCCCATGCAAAACGGACTCCCGGGATAGAAAGAGCAAGATTACAAACCACTGTTGGAGTGAGTATCTTCAGGGTAACCCAAACACTGACCTATCAGAGCACTTGACAGAGGCTGGCCTTACCCAAGCATGTACTGCATGACCTCTTGGTCAAGTGACTTTTAGCAGAGTGCACAGTCATTGTGTGTGAGTAACAGGAAGACAGGAAGAAAAGGGTGAGTTATTGTCCTAAATTTGCAAGCAAGCCCTGAGAGGAAAACAGAACACATAAGCCTCCTCGTGAACTACGGCTACCAGATTTAGCAAGTAAAATTATAGGGCTCCATTGTTTATCAGAAATTCAAAATTAACTGGGCAACTATCTTATCTGGTAGTGCTCTGAAGCTTTGGGATTGAGGAGAAAATCAATAATCCAGGGGGTTCTGATCTGGGGTAATTGAGGTCTGCAAGGAGCCTATGCCAGAAAAAGTAGAAAAATTCTAAATTCATTAAAAAAATATACTGATTACAAAGAAGAAAAGTAAAAAAACAAAAAACAAAACATATTGCTTAATTTGGCCCACGCTGGGTTTCTGTGACCTAAAGTTTCACTATACAAAGACATGTCAGAGGGTAAGAGAAATCAAAGCTAGACACCGGCCCGTGAAAAACATCCTCTGCATCTGTGAAGGCAGACTTCCGAAAGTGATGGTCAAGTCGAATGGGGTGGCCCAGGGTTTTAGTTCCACCCCTCAGGAGGCAGAGGCAGGCAGATGTCTTTGAGTTCAAGGCATGCCAGGGCTACAAAGTGAGACCTTGTCTCAAAACATCATCAACAACAACAACCAAAACAAAACAAAAAACACCAAAGCAAAACAACAAAAATCGTCCTTCAGCATCAATATAAAAATCAGTGGGACGCAGAAAGGAACAGCTGTGTAAGTGCCCAAGGCCAGGCAGCAGGAGGGGGATTCTGGGGTAGTGTTTGGGTGCCACCTTCCCATGAAGCCACACTACTGCTTCTGGTCTACTGCATACGTCCTATGCTATTTATTTATTATTGTTTGTTTGTTTCTGGGGATTGAAGCCACTGACTTTGTGAAGCCAGGCAAGCTCTGCTGGTGAGATACAACCCCAGCCCCCTCAGCCACTATTTTTATTTGCTAATACTTTGAGCCTGTGTTGGAATAATGCTATCAGGCCCTTCTTCCCAGCTTATAAACGGCTACCGTTTTTCTGCAACGCTTCATCATCCAGCAACACCGCCTACTTTCCTTAAAGCCTGGGCCAAAAATAAGTCCCTGAACCCTGAACCTAACCAAGGTCCTTCGCTTCTTCGACCTGCCCGGAGCATGGCTCAACCAGCTAGAGTCAGATTTAAGGGCCCAGGCTGGCTCTAGAGTTCTTCCCTAGGGGGAGCAGCTAGTCTCCAAGGAAGAGGAACGGTAACCCTGGCAAAGCTCTTTCAAGATTATCTGGGTAGCCTCTAAGGAACTAACCAATAAGAACCTCTGCAGCCCTTAGATTACCTTAAAAAACAAAACAAAACAAAAAAACACAATGTAAACAGCAGGTACATAGACGTCCTAATGGTAAACGAGACTGGAACAAGAATGGAAAGGTGATAAATTCTGTATATTCCTAGACCGAAAGATTGAACCAATCCCCTAAATGACACCCTTTTCTTCTTTATGTAACGACACACACCTTTCCTGCCCCGCAGTCCCTGCATCGGACTCGTTTATTCTTTCATCGGCCCAGGAGGTATTTAATTTGTGCTGCTATGTGCCAGGCACTGTGCTGGGGACCGGAGAAACAAAGATAAGCAGTGTGTGGCCCTCTCGGCGTCTGCAGGGCCACCTTGGCGAGCCACAGCTAGTCTATGACAATTGGATCACCTTGTCCTTCACGGCAGGTGTGTGCACTAACGGGGCAGCAGCGAAGCAAAGGTAAAACTGGCCGGCGCTGGGCAAGGACCAACTTGGGAAGCCGGAGCCAAAGGCACGGAGGGCGCAGAGGACCCGCTGCGGTCACTGCGGGAGATGACAGGCAGCTGTGCTCCCACGGGGAGGACACAGATGTGGGTTCAGCGATGGCTGGCACGAGCCGGTCCGGGCGTCTCGGGGAAGGGGGACAGTTTGAGGAGACGGTTGGTGGAGGACTTGGGTGGTGCCCAAAGGGCTGGCTGGCGCTGGGTTTCTGAGGGTCCCTTGGCCCTCCGCAGCAGAGCCGGGGTGGGGTGTGGGGGGGACCAGAGGATGCAGGCGGGAGGCGCGAGGGCGGGGCGGGCA